GGAGTGCATTTCTGGAGGTGAAGTCAAACAGTTGCGTTTGCAGTGACCTCCCTTGGGCACAAGGCTGGGCAGTGTGTATGGAGGTTTTAGGCTGCCCAGATGACAAGACCTCTCCCTCAGCCTGGCTGATTTGTGCTGCAAGGGAAAGCAGAGCAATACGTTTGGCACCAGCTTGGCTGCAGGAGTTGCCAGAAGGAGGCACACAGGGTGGCGCTGTGGTCTAAACCACTGAGCTCCTTGAGCTCGCTGTGACGGGGTGAACTCCTGTTGCTCTGTCCCAGCTTCTGACAACCTAGCAGTTCAAAAGCACACCAGTGCAAGTAGATAAATAGATACCGCTGTGGCAGGAAGGTAAACAGCGTTTCCGTGTGCTCTGGTTCCGTTGCACTAGAAGCGGTTTAGTCATGCTGAACACATGACCTGGAAAGCTGTCTGTGGACAAATGCTGGCTCCCTTGGCGTGAAAAGCAAGATGAGCACCACAACACCATTCCACTGTCTTGGGGACTCAACTCTGCATTTGTGTAGGGTTTACTCCTTGGCTTTTTCTTCTCCCCAAGATGCCTTGCAAGGCAGGATATTTTTTTCTCCCCAAGTTGATGAGCCCCATCTGCCCATCACTTCTTCCTACAGCACATGCAGAAACTGCCTTCTTGAGCACTGGATCCAATGTTGGTCTGTCTGCTCAATCCACTGGAGCCTGTCTTCGCTGAAGGATTGAGAGTCATCTATGTGGCGTTCGTACGGAGCCCCCGGTCGTCTCACGGACTATTGACCCATACACCACTAATCTGCTGCCACCAACCAGGTGCTCCCCAGTTAGTCTCAGTCAGGTTCTTAAGTTAACAGTGAAGATTGTAGTTTACTGCAAACACAAATAAACTTTAATGCATTCGAAACGCTGTTACCCTTTACCCTCTTAGTCTTATTTTATTCTGTCTCTAACTCTTCTACCTCCCCTCACACAAGAACCAACTGCACTAGCTGTCTCTCTATTTCCATCTGTCTGCCAACTGCTTTCCCAACTGCCTTTTCCAAACCAACCAACCCTCGGGCTAAGCCCTTTTATAAACAGGTAGGCTCCGCCTCTGGCTTTTCTATTGGTCTACCTATTAACTCTTTCTTTTCCCCTGTACAGACATTTTCAAAAGAATGGGCAAATGCCACAATCTGCTACTCTCACCTGGTGTAGTCAGAACCATTCCTGGGGTGTGGTCGCTGTTGCATGCTGACAGCCTCTAAAAGCCACAGGTGAGAGCTGAATGCAGGGTGGGAACAAAGTTGGATGAACTAGATGAAGACATCTGAAGGCAGCCCTGTTTAGGGAAGCTTTTAATGTTTGATGCATTACTGTATTTTAATATTTTGTTGGAAGCGGCCCAGAGTGGCTGGAGAAGCCTAGCCAAATGGGCAGGGTATAAATAATAAATTATTATTATTACTACCCCAGAAGGGGCCTGACATGTCCCCCACCAGAGGTACTACCCCTCCCCTAGCTCCCCATACACCCCAATGAGAGCCTTTTAGCTTATAAAATTCATTGTTCTACTCTTGGAATCCAAAAAGGCGTTTGAGAAAGAAATGCCCCCCTCCTAAAAAAATAAATAAAGTGGAGGTAGGGGAATTCCTTAACAGTTTTCTGGAAGATCTAAATCATATTCTCAGTTTTGCATACATAACATGTAGAGAATATTTTTATCTGCTTAGATGTGAAATACTAACAGATGGGGAAAGTGACATGCAAAGAGAGCAAATAATTAGGAAAGATGGATGGTGGTATTTCAAAAACCCCAGCTTCAGCATTGTTGGAGATTTTCTAATGGCTCTTAAAGAAAATTCTAGGTTCTCCCCCACATTCTTAATAACACGTTTGTGACAATACGTCTTGTTTTGATGTTTCTGCCCACCAACCATGATATATCTAAACAATTTACAATTATTATCTCATGCATTTTCCCAACATTTATGACTCACTCTCTTCCAATACTTCAGGTCTAAAATAGATCTCGACTTTGCTTTCTGATGTTATTTGGCTTGAATCATCTAGTTCCAAAAAATATATTTCAGGCAATGGACCTGTGGCTAATTTCAGAAGAGCCATACCCTCCTGTAACATAAATGGCTGTACCTGGAAGACTTTGGCCCCAATTCTTAAATGTGTTAGAAGGCAGGGGGAAGCCTGAAAATGGTATGATCATGACCTGACATTGTGAGGAGGGGACTATATCAGTTTTTGTTTCTCTCATTTTTTTCAGTCTTCAGTTCCCCACATTTCTACATCAGTTTGCAAGTACTTTTTCCCCTTCCTTCCTTTACAAAAAAAATACTCCATAAAAATGCATTCAATTTTTCTAACATTTTTGCAAAGCAAGTTCCCTAATACAATGCATTTTTACATGCTATTTTTGCTAATTCATGCATTTGTATTCACACTTTACTATTGCATGTTAATCTTTGTGCACATCCCTTGGCAGGCAAACTGCATTTCAAAATTCAGAGAAGTAAAAATGTTGAAAGGTGGCTGTGTGTCGATTCATATATTGCTTTGGCAAGTGGGAATCAAGTGGTGCAGCAATAAAACTGCTAGCACAGTTGCAAAGCTAAGCTGGGTCCACTATGGTTTCAAATTGGATGGGGAACGGCGTTTCGAGATCCTTGCATTGCAGGGAGTTGGACTAGATGACCCTCAGGGTCCCTTCCAACCCTATGATTCTATGAAATGTGAACTGAATTGAAATTGTCCTCCAAATGGGGCTTGAACTGGAAACCCATGGGTCTGGGGCAATAAGATTTTAGAGCTGCTCTGTCCACCCAGAGATTGGTCATTGGATAGCTTTGATCAACAAGGACTATAAAGGAAGGCTGGGGAATCTGTGGCCCTCCAGCTGTTGTTGGAATATAACTCCCATCATCTTTGACCATTGACCAGGCCTTGTGAAACTCTCTAGATATGAGGGTTCGTCCACATTTCCACTTGTCTGAGCAATTTTCTGCTTGTCTTGTGCTTTCTAGGCACAGGTCTGATCTGAGCAGTTTTGCCTTCCCCCAGAAAACCCACTCTTTAGTGCTAAATCCTGCAGGCACCCCATCATGATCTTGTCAAACATCTTGCCCCAAAGTGGAATAAATTCAACTGGGCAGTACCTGTTAATTCTGTTGGGTCCAGGGTGCCCCCCCCAAAGAGTGGCTGCGATATCAAGGGGGCAGACACCACCTCCTTCACCACACTTTGAACAAACACAGTCATATCTGCAGCTAGCCTTTATTGGGGATGAAGGGCAAGGGTCAACAGAGCATGCTGTTGGGCATATACTTGCAAGCACCTTGTCCATGCCACCAGGCTGCAAAAATGGAATCTGATCCCACAAAGCACAAAGCTCACTCAGAGAACTAGTTCACAATGGAGATGAACAGTTTTTTTTCGAAAGTGCCCAGTAAGCAATTCAGAGAGGTTCTCCGAGTTGTCCCAGACCCTATCCAACCAATATAGGTGCCAACAGCTTATTGATCACTTTGAAGAGCTCTGCTGGGTGGTTACTCAAGGATGCCCCCCCCCCCCCGCTGCTTTCATGACAACTCAGTAGGCACGGTTATGTTCTCTAAAATGCGTCAAATCATCTTTGTTGGGGGTTTTTCTCTGAATTTACCTGTATGTGGTGGGCTAGTTACCACACACAGAGAGACATACCCCCCTCTGTCCCCCTTCCAAGTGAGAAAGAGGCATTATCAGAGTTCAGTGACACATTACAGCTGTGCAAAAAGCCACAAGGAAAGCAGGACAGGAGAGGGGTGTTACTTGGGCAGGTGCATGGGAGAATCCTGAAGGCCATGTGAGAGAAGCCAGGGGTGCTACATTTGGCCTTCAGTCCTGAAGTTCCCCGCTCCTGTTTTAGACTAAGATGAAACAGCAACAGATTTGAAATCTGCCAAAAGAAGACGACAAAAATATGTGGGGTGGGGAGAGAAGATGGGAGTTGTGTCAGCTGTGCACTGTGCCAGGTGTTGACTTCATTAGCATTGCAAATCCCACAGTCGGATACACAGGAGATATTCTTTTCAGGAAAAGTTTAGATGGAAATGTAATTAGAACCTGTAAAGTAAGTGCTAGGAAGCGCCGTCTTGTAAGGTTGCGTATTAATATGAGGCTGAGTCAAAACTGTTCTTACCATTTCGTGTTCTTTCATATATATATATTTTAAAAAATGTCATCAGTGTTTTGATCTCCCTCCCCTTGCCTTGAAATTATGGTAATTTCTGTTTGACTGTTTTAAACACAGTAGGTCTGAGAACCTGCAGTGAAATTTCACTAGAAAACGCAGCACTTGGTGGGTACTGCGTCTTTTGTGTGTGTCAAGAACAGCAAGTACAGCAAACTTTTTAAAGTCCTGAAATCTTTCTGGAAAATAGTAATGAGATGACATGGCAAAGCATTCTGGGAATTATACATTTGTGGTGAGCACCATTCAGAATGAAGCTCAGTGCCAAGGTCACACCACGAATCTTTCCCCTAACATATGCATTTTTGTAAACAGTGTTTGGTTTGCAAAATTCTTTGTAAAATTTGGATAAGTGCCAATTTTGTTTTGCGTATTATTTTGGAAAGTGTGCATTTGAGAGATTTGGGTTTAAATGAGACCTGTATCAAATTTCTCCTCCAGCCCTAGTCTGGACAAACTGATTGAAGTGCTCCACTTCAGAATTGTAACTCTTGAGATTCTTCCTTCATCCCTTGGTTGTGGCTCACATGCAAAACACATAATTCCCAAGCAGAAGGTTCCAAGTTCAAGCTGTAGCTCAAAGGATCGGGCAGCACTCCTGGGAAAGACCAGTGTCACAAATCCAGGAGATTTTCTGCCAGTCAGGATAGACAATATTGGACCGGATGTTTCAGTGATCTCATTCATACTTTGGGGTAAAATTTCACCACCCACTTAAATTTCTAAATGAAATCAGTAGAACTTAAACATGCTTAACACTGGCTGGATTCTTTTTTTTTTTTTTATAAGATATTTATTGGTTTTACAAAAGAAAAAAAATTCCAAAAGATACAGAATTACAAAAATTCAACAAACAAAAAATAACAATAACCATGACAAAGAAAAAAAAAACAAAAAAAAAGAAACAGAAAAATTTAAAAGATATTTTTACTTTCATTTAGCCTTCTTATCTTTACCTAGTTCTTTGACTTCCCCGCATCTCCCCGCTTGCACTTCCATTTAAAAACTCCTTTCAGCAAATCCTTACCCTCCTTTCATTATCTTAACTCAAAAAACTTAATCTATTTAAATATAAATATTTTTACAACCTTCTCCATCAAATATTCCATACTCTTAATCACAAAGCTTTTGCCAATACCAGTTATTATCAATCAGACTTCAATTTAACATTCATTAATTTTATAGTATTTCTGTAGATAGACTTTAAATTTCTTCCAATCTTCTTCCACCGACTCTTCTCCCTGGTCACGGATTCTGCCAGTCATCTCCGCCAGTTCCATATATTCAATTACCTTCATCTGCCATTCTTCCAGAGTGGGTAAATCTTGTGTCTTCCAATACTTTGCGATGAGTATTCTTGCTGCTGCTGTTGCATACATAAAGAAAGTTCTGTCTTTCTTTAACACCAATTGGCCAACAATGCCCAAGAGAAAGGCTTCTGGTTTCTTTAGAAAGGTATACTTAAATACCTTTTTTAACTCATTATATATCCTTTCCCAGAAGGCCTTAATCTTTGGGCACGTCCACCAAATGTGAAAGAATGTACCTTCGGTTTCCTTACATTTCCAACATTTATTATCGGGCAAATGATAGATTTTTGCAAGCTTGACTGGGGTCATGTACCACCTGTACACCATTTTCATAATATTCTCTTTTAAAGCATTACATGCTGTGAACTTCATACCTGTGGTCCATAACCGTTCCCAGTCAGCAAACATAATATTATGTCCAATATCCTGTGCCCATTTAATCATAGCAGATTTTACCGTTTCATCCTGAGTATTCCATTTTAGCAGCAAGTTATACATTCTTGAAAGTGTTTTAGTTTTGGAATCTAGCAATTCTGTTTCCAACTTTGATTTTTCCACCTGGAAGCCAATTTTTCTATCCAAATTATAGACCTCTCTTATTTGGTAATAATGCAACCAGTCTCGCACTCTATCTTTTAATTTTTCAAAACTCTGCAGTTTAAGTTTATCTCCTTCTTGTTCCAAGATCTCCCAATATTTTGGCCATTTGGCCTCCATATTGGACTTTTTTAGGGCCTTTGCCTCCATTGGTGATAGCCACCTTGGGGTTTTATTCTCCAATAAGTCTTTGTATCTTATCCAGACATTGAACAATGCTTTCCTGACAATATGGTTTTTAAACATTTTGTGAGCTTTAACCTTGTCATACCACAGATATGCATGCCACCCAAACACATTATTGAAACCTTCTAAGTCCAATACATCAGTATTTTCCAGAAGTAGCCAATCCTTCAACCAGCAGAAAGCTGCTGATTCATAATAAAGTTTAAAGTCTGGCAGGGCAAATCCCCTCTTTCTTTAGCATCAGTCAATATTTTAAATTTTATCCTAGGCCTCTTGCCCTGCCAGACAAACTTAGAAATATCTCTCTGCCACTTCTTAAAACAGTCCATTTTGTCTATTATTTGTATCGATTGAAACAAAAACAACATTCTTGGCAATACATTCATCTTGATGACAGCAATTCGCCCTAACAAGGAAAGCTTCAGATTTGTCCATATTTCTAAATCTTTTTTAATGTCCGACCAACATTTTTCATAATTGTCTTTAAATAAATTCCCATTTTTAGCTGTCATATGAATCCCCAAATATTTCACTTTTTTTACCACTGTTAGACCTGTCTCATTCTGGAACCTCTCTTTTTCAATCGGTGTTAAATTCTTCTCAAGTACTTTAGTTTTAAGCTTATTTAACTTAAAACCTGCCACCTGACCAAACTCTTGAATCAGTTCTAATGCTCTTTTCGTACTAGATTCTGGCTCCTGTAGTGTCAATACAAGGTCATCTGCAAATGCTTTCAATTTATATTGTTTCGCTCCGACCGTTATGCCCTTAATCAGATGGTCCCTTCTTATCATATTTAACAAAACCTCCAGAACAGAAATAAAAAGTAATGGGGAAATTGGGCAGCCTTGTCGTGTCCCTTTCTCTATCTTAATTTCCTCTGTTATCACATTATTAACTATTAATTTAGCTTTTTGTTCTGAGTAAATTGCATTTATACCATTTTCAAACTCTTGGCCTACCCCCATCCCCTGAAGATTTTTTTCATGAAACTCCAAGAAATATTGTCAAAGGCTTTCTCTGCATCCACAAAAATCAAAACTGCTTTAGTATTGATCTCCTCTTGCAGCTTCTCCAAAATATCAATTATGTTCCTTGTGTTGTCCGAGAGATGTCTATCTGGGAGAAAGCCAGCTTGGTCCTTGTGGATCACTTCTTTTAGCACTTTTTTAAGCCTTTTTGCTAAAATGTCAGCAAAGATTTTGTAATCCACATTTAACAGGGATATGGGCCGGTAGTTCTTAAGCTGTGTCTTTTCAGTCTCGGCCTTTGGTATAAGTGTAATAAATGCGTCTTTCCACGACTCTGGCGCTCTTTTCCCCTCTAAAATTTCATTACAAACCTCAGTTAAAGGTCGAATTAACCAGTCTTTCAAAGTTCTGTAGTATTTTGAGGTTAAACCATCCGGTCCTGGAGATTTTCCCAACTGCATATTCTGAATGGCACCTTCAACCTCCTGTTCTGTAATTTTATAGTTCAACAATATCTTGTTGTCCTGAGAAATTTTTTGTAATCCATTGGTTTTCAAAAATTGCTCTATCTCGAATTCTTTCTGAGGCCCTTGTGTGTATAGTCGTTTGAAATATCTCTGGAAGCATTTCCTAATTTCCTCTGGATTCTGGATATTTTTCCCTTCCACTTCCAAATTAGTAATAGTATTAAGTTTTTGTCGCTTCTTCAACTGCCAGGCCAGCAGTTTCCCACATTTATTTGCCGATTCAAAAGTCTTTTGTCTCATTTGCTTAATTTTCCATTCCACTTCTTGATTTATCAATTTCATATATTGCACTTGGTACAATTTTATTTCCCTCAGAATCTCTTGTGAATTGGGCTTCACTCTCAATTTCTTCTCGCCCTCCTTTATTTTTTCCAAAATTTTTTTTCTTTCTTTACGTTTTGGGCCTTCTTCTTAATTGAATTCTGTTGAATCAGGAAACCCCTCATAACAGCTTTGCTTGCATCCCAGATTACTCTTTTTCTACAGTTGTATTCAAATTTATCTCAAAATAGTCCCTCAATGTCTTTTGGGCCTTCTTAATCACCTCTTGATCTCTAAACAAGGTGTCATTCATCCTCCATCGGAAGGAACCAATAGGTGTTAACTTCATCTCCATTCTCACGGCGTTATGGTCGGAGCATGTTTTTGGGCAGATCTCTACCTTCTTAACCTTAGGTGCCAGTCCTCTAGTAGTCCAGATTTGGTCAATTCTTGTCCATGTCTTCTGGGCTTCAGAAAAAAAGGTTCCTTCTCTATCAAGGGGATTCTTAGTTCTCCAAATGTCAATCAAGTCCATATTGTCAGTTAGTTCAAAAAATGTTTTCGGTAGTCTACCATCTTTAGTAACTACCTCTCTTTGTGACTTGTCCATATTTGTGGAAACCACCCCATTCATATCTCCCATGAAAACAGTATTATAGTCCATATAGTCCATCAAGGTCTCATGCAACTTTTTGTAGAATATAGATTTCCCCTCATTTGGTGCATATACACCTACTATCAAAAATTTTTCTCCTTGTACTTGAATTTCAATTGCTATAAATCTTCCTTGTTCATCCTTAAAGACAAATTTTGGTGAGAGGCTCTCCTTTGCGTAAATTACCACTCCTCGTTTTTAACTTTGTCTGATGAGATAAATTCTTGGCCCAGTCTCTTATTAATCAATATTTTCCTATGGAGCCTCGTCACATGGGTTTCCTGTAAACAAATTAAGTCCAATTGTTCTTTTTTAAGTATATGGAATACTTTCCTTCTTTTTTCCGGAGAATTCAGACCACAAACATTCCAAGTTAAAAGTTGCAGAGCCATGATGATTTCTTTATTTCCCTCCAACTGCTCCCAATAACTCTTCTTCCTCTGTTGGTGGTTTCGGCTTCTCTGTCTTATCCTCTCCCAACGGTGGTAATGTAAGATCCAATCCTGTTAAAGGGGCTTCTGGCTCCAATCCTTTTGCAGGTCCTCTTGGGAATCTCTCAAAAAGATCTGTTTCGCCTCCACCGCTTTAATTTTAATTTGTTTGCCGCTAAAACTGCAAGAGAGGCCTTGAGGGAATTCCCACCTGAAAAAAATTCTGTTTCCTCTCAGCAACGTCACCAGGTCTCGATAGTTAGACCTAAGCTCCAAAAGAAGCTTTGGAATGTCTTTAAATATTTCTATCCTTGAATCTTGTATTGTCAGTGTATTTTGATAATGTAGGCTCAAAATTTTATCTCGTTCCTCTTTTGATCGCAGGGTAATCAGGCAGTCTCTCACTCTATTTTTCCTTGCTCTTCTTCCGAGCCTAAAAGCAGACGTTATCTTGAAATCTTCCTTATCCTTCAATTGCCAAAAATTGGCAAATTCTTGCGTCAAAAAGTCTGCCAGGCTCTCTTTTTCAATCTCAGGTACTGCTCTGATCCTTAAGTTGGTCTGTTTCTCCTTTAACTCAAGAAGAGATAACAATTCCTGGTGCGTTCCCAATCTTATGTGGTGCTCTTGAACTTGTTTAATTAAAGGTGGTAGTTTTTCTTCAGCAGCTACCGCCTTTTCTCTGGCTTCCAAAGCTGTTTTTTGGGTTTCAGCAGATTGTTCCAGTAGTTTTTTAATCACATCTGTATTTTCATTAGTCTGTCGGGTCAACTTGTCAATACTTGCAGAGTTTTGTCTAATGGCTTCTAGAGCCTCGGCATTTTGTTGACCCAATTTTTCAAAACCTTCATTCACAATTTTAAATAAACTGGCCAATCCTTCTTCCTCCCCTTGTGGTCCAGCGATGGATTGCCTACGCTGTTGCTGTTGTGCAATGTTGCTCTGCTGCCTGGCTTTCCCAGACCTCAGATCTCTTCCTTCCATGGCACTTTATCTAAAAGTCAAGGTCACTCTCACAGTCAAAATTATTTTGTTATTGTACTTTCCCAGGCTGCTGTTAGGTGGAATATTCCTCAGTCCATAGAGACTTTTTCCCTTTTGGCCTCCAGGGGGACACAAGTAATAAAGTATCAAAAATAAAGACTCTCAAACAGCCAAAAAGGCAACTTTTCCCAAAGTTGTAAAACTGTCCCAATGTTTCAATTTTGTAAAGTTAAAAGGCAAAAAGATACATTGTCCATTTAGAGTGCTAACAAAGTGTCCAATCTTTCCAAAACCTGGCAGTCTGTCACCAGGGATTGAGAGGTGGTCTTTTATTTTCTTATTTGCTCTTTAAATTGCTCAGAAATAACAGTAAATAACAAGAAATACTTTCTCTTCTTCCCCCCCTGGTCCAATTATGGGGGGGAAAATTTTTAGATTAGAAGTCTGTGTTTCAGTCTTTTTGGCATTCACTGGTATCGAACTCACACAGTCTTTGCTTTATTCTCTGTACAGACCGGGAGGTGGACTTCCTTTTTACACCATTCCCGCTTCAGCCGAATATGTTCGAAAATTTTTATTAATCCTTATAGCATGAAACCTACTCACGGGTTGTACTTTTGACAGCCGAATTGTCAAGGAAGAAAGGTCAGCGCTCTCCAGTAACAGCTGCACGGCTTCACTCCGCGAAAGTAGCAGACGACTCACAGTGCCGCGCTACCCCGTCCTGCTTCGGAGCCCCTCGCGGGGTTCCTTTGCCGTTTAGGGGCGCGCTCCAGGCACCCGCCGAGTCCCACGACCGCAGGCTTCCTCCGCCTGCGGGTTTCGGAAGGGTCTCCGCTGCGCCGTAGCGGATCGACCCAGTTCCCGCGGAGCCTCTCCTCAAGAGTTATGAGGAGATCGCCATTACTGTTGGCGCCGCCTCCGGAAGTCCTCAACACTGGCTGGATTCTATCCATCATCTACCCATCTATTTATCTATCCTCTAGGCCAAAAAAAAAAAAGCACAGTAAAGAAAGGCTAAGTCATAATAATAAGCTGCATCTCCATTAGAGACGTTTTTGTGATCAAATTAGAGGGAAAGTGTTAAGTGCAAGGGAAGCAGGGAGGTGTTCACTTGGGAATAGCTTGGTTAATATACGGGGCTGCTTTAAACCCACTGCAAGTGTAATTTACGCTTTGACCTTTCTTCCTGCCTTTGCCAGCCAGGTTTCCTAAGCATTCCAGTAAGACCTGACAGATTAATCATCTGCTTTGGACCACAGCCCACTAGAGACATAATATGCTGAGCCTGCTGTGTTTGACAGACCACAGCTCCAGCGCTATGCTTGAGGGCAGCTTGGCAGCCACTTCCTGCTAGGAATGGAGATGGCGTGCAAAGGGATGTTGCTTAAACACCATACATTCTTGACATCCCTGTTTAACCAACTTCCTTTCAAGGGAATAGGATCCAGCTGAAAACACAAGACCCTTAGGTCTGACCAGTTCACAATAAAATTCGGGGGGGGGGGGCTTTGTGCATCTTCAAGCAGATATGTTATTCAAATTAAGAAACATGGTGGTTGTTTTTAAAAACCTGCTTCTGCAGTATAATTAACATGATGTATCACACCCCAACAGTGCCCACCACCAATTTCCCTTTTTTATTTTTTATAACACTTGGCACTGAGTGACTAGGCAGCAGCCATCTTGATTTCCTACTAGGATCCCAAGGGCTGCCTTTTTAACTTTCCACACTTCTCCAGAGATATGCTATACCAGGGACATTTGAAGCCCTGGGCTGTCCTCTGTTGAAAAGAACTCTTGAGCAATAGGCAACCTTATATAGGAATATCAGGTCTGTCTCAATTGTAAGCTCCGCTTTTATTAAAAGGTGCCTCTTTAGGTAAAGGGCCCTGATCCACTCCAGCAATCTTTTGCTCCAATGGAATGGGGGTGATTCTGGTTGCCCTGGGAATTCTGCTATAGAGTCCGCTGAACTGTTCAGCAGTGGAATGGACTACTTTGGAAGGTGGTGGACTATCCTTGATGGGAGGTTTTTAAGCAGAGGTAGGATGGCTATCTGACAGGGATTCTTTAGCTGTGATTCCTGCATTGCAGGGGATTAGATGAGATACCTTTGGGGGTACCTTCCAATTCTACAATGCTACAGTCTATGAGTCAGAATGTGGCAGTGCAATAGTATTGAGTAAGAGTAGGCTGGCCCTATGTACAATCCCCCTTTTGCAGGGGTTGGGAATATCACACTCAGGGGCCAAATGCAGTTCTCCAGACATCCCTATCTGAGCCTTAGGACTTGGGCACTTTCCAAAGTTAGAGATACAGATCGGATTGTTGTGACCAGTGTACACGCCTATCAGCTACTCCTTTTGAAAACTGAGAAATTCATTCGAGTCCACAGGGGAGATGTCTGGAAACGGTTTAGCCATTTTTGCTCCTGCTGTCGGAAACTCATCTCTTACTCTGGTGTCCCTTGAGACTTCTCTGTTAGGACAGTTCTACAAATAAATCCACTTCCCTGCTTATGGCTCTTTCTATTCTCCTTCACAACTGTCCAGAATATCAGGTGCTGAATAAACAGAGGTTGACTAAAAGATCAATGAAGCTTCATCTGGCAAAACTCCAGACTGTACAACCGTGTCACTCTGAAGAACTTTATTTAAAAACACAACGTGAAGGGCATACATATGAGTCCAAGTTCCTGGAACACCTGACTTTCATGCAAAAGAATAAAAGCTTCTACAAAGGGAGAACATTTTTGTATAAAGATTTCTGGCGTTTTGTCAATAGATTGCAGCTAACAGTAGGCTGATGCCCACTATCTGATTTAGAATGGGGGTACTTATTCCAGTTCCCTTTGAGAGCATCTTACATTGGATGCCCTAAATTAATTCAGGTTAAAACTGAACCCATTCTGAATCAGTTCTATTGAATTCACAGTGATGTATTTGGGAATGTGATGGGGCCTGGAAGCATGGCTGAAGCATGTGCCTCCAACGTTTTGCATTACTTATCAGAGGTGGGGCATCAGGGTCCTATCTGGCCAGGATGAGTGCAAGGTGAAGTTTAATGAAGGCCTAAGATGTGGCTGCTGTGCGTGAACAATGTATCTGAAGATGAACAATATGCTGTGTCTGAACCCTGGGAAGGCAGATTCCTTGTGGGTGGGTGCTCTTGTACTGAGAAGATAAGGATGGGGTTGCACTCATTCTGAAGGAGCAGGTACATTGTTTGGAGGTACTCTTTGTGCCAACCTTGTCACTTGAAGCTCAGGTGACCTCTGTAGCCATGAATGCCTATTTTCAGCTTTGTCTGGTCTAGATGGGTAATTGGCCTTATCCAGCAGGGCTGTTCTAATGTCCTTATGTAAGTCCTTAGGTTTCTCAATTGTTTTGGATATTGCTAAGCATGTGCAGTATATCAGAAGCATCCAAGGGTCAAGGGAATTGCAGCCCCCATATTCCTCAAGGTATAGCAACATATAAGACCATTGTGAATGAAACCTGATGAGTTCCTGGCCTCTGCATTTGCCTCCTGATGACATTTCAGGTTCTATAGTTTTGTCATAGAAGCAGAAATAGGTCTGAATAAGCTGCCCTCCCCCCAAACCTCAGTGGGTGAATCTATAAGGCCCCTGATTTGAGCCTAGGGTTCCTACCTGTCAAGATAAGCCAATCACTCAGGGCTGAGCCTTGGCCATAGGTGCATGAAAGGGCAGAGTGCGAGGGGGATGTCCAGTTTTGAAGCAGAGGTTGCTCACACATCTCTCATTGACTTCTGAATTGGGAAGGTGGATTAAGGAGTACAAGATGTTAACCGGGAGATTCACGTCTTAATTGTCAGAAGTAGCCAAAGCCACTATGTCTCCCATTCTATGACTACAACAATGCAGTGTTTCACCCAGGAGATTATCTTGGCAAAGGAGGGTTCACAGAAGGTAGGAAAGAAGGTTTGGGAAGGAACTAGTGCGACAGCCATAACAAATATGTCAAATTCTTCCAAGGTACAGGCAGGATCTCCAGGGCCAGCTGGCAAGTCTAAAGGAGCAGATGCAGGGGGATGCAACCAGTTTGGCGGCACTGGGCATGGAGCCTTAGGAGCGCTGCAGGGGGAAACCACAATTATTATTTAGAATGTGGCATGAGATGTGGGGGCACTGAATTTTGGCATCACACGGGAAACTGCTGAAATTTGAGACCCCAAGATCCGCCACTGAAAAGAGGCAGAATTTCAGCACATTGTATTGCAAGCGCCCTTTCAGGGTGTAGGTGTTTTCCTAACAAAGATCTATCATTTAATGCTAAGGTATTATACCACTCTGATATTATTCCACTGTACCAGAGAGATTAAAATGCTGAGGCTATTTTTCTTGCCCTGTATTAGTGTTCTCATTTTACTAGGTTTTCTTCACCACACCCCCCCCCCCCGACCATATTCTTTTGGGACATTTGATTGGCATGGTTCCTGTAAGTAGAACAAATCAATATGAGCTCAGCCCTGGGATGTACAGAATGCTGATAAGGAATTAGTAGGAAAGGCCAGGTAAGGTTTGGTTTAAACTGTAAAAAAAAAGTTGCCTAGAATCCTGCTAATTAGCAGTGGTGGAGTAATGGTCCTTTATAGTGACTTTAAGGATTTAGAATAACATGCTTAATCTGGAAAGGCACATTAAATGAAATGAAATGAAACGAAATGATGAAACTCAAAAAGCTGAACTGCAATTATGTTTTCCAGTTTCAAATTGCAAGTTAAAAACAACAACACAGTTTTGGTGTTATGAAACAAAGACCTTCTTTATTTTGATTCTGTTTGACTTGTCCTGGCTGCTATTACGCAACATGTTTTCCTTTTGGTTTGTTCTTCTCCCTTTCTGGATTAGCTCATAGTTGACTGCAGTCAAGCAGGGATCATAGATGGTAAGACAATTAAGTAGCCAATTAAATGTGTGTGTATGTGTGTGTATGTATGGTGATGTCATTGAAGGCACATGAAAGCAGTTGTAAGTGAGGACAATGCTTCCTGAATCAGCCCCATGGGAGATACAGCCAATGGGATGGGAGTGACACATGACCAATTAGATTACCAAGAATGGATTGTGTCAATTGAGAACATGAGTTTGTAAATTGATGTCGGCATTCCTCAAGAAAGGATGGTGTTTGTTTGGTTTCCCCCCCCCCCAAAAAAAGGGGGCACTACACTGTCAAAATCACTCACTTGACAAGTTAGGGATGCTTTCTTTGGTACTGTTCGTGATCCTTTGGCTTAGATCATAATAACAGTATTGATTTACTAAAAACAGCAGCAACAACAACAACAACCCATGAACATTACATGGTTTGGGGCCGTCGTTATGAAAATCTAAGGTTTGATTCACAACATCAGGAGGTTATACCCCCAAAGTGGGTGGA